ATCTTTTGAATCACTTCATGACCCAATATTCTAATCTTGACATTTTAACACCTCAAATAATATAAAAAATTGATGCTTTGATAGAACTTTTACAAGGCTAATATAACTGTTCAAAATGCCATTGAGTGTTATGTATAAAGTATTTAAAAGGTTAGACTGGGGGCGATTTGTCAGTGTGTGGCAAAGTTTAATATGCAGGTTTTTATGAGACCTCTAAACAAATGGTGACAAATGTGGGGCCAGTGTGTGTTTCTACTTTAAATTGTGTTGTAGAGAAGGAAAATAGCCCAGTTTACAATAGCGTTTTTTATAAGGTCACTCTGGTTTTATTACTGGTATACGGCCAAAAGTCGTAAACTCTGGAATTAACTGTACATGAAAAATATTTGCCATAATTGTGACTACGTACAAACAAATGCTTTCCTTGGACCAACCATAATATGTCTAAAATAATGGTCTCATATACCCCATAAAAGTATGCATTGTTTTGTTGAAGCCATATTGTGTTTTTTTTTTTTGCCCTATTTGAGTTCTGAAATTATTCTTAAAGGTCCTAGATTATGCAAAACAGACTCTTGTGAGCTTTAAGCCATGTTGTGATGCTGTTACCTCCTCAAACACATACATGGGATTGTGTTTTGATTCATTCAGCACTTCCTGTGTTACTACATGACCTCAATGACATCACAAGGTGGAACATAGTGTTTTCTGTTTGAACGAAGAACTCAACCTAAATATGCACAGTTTGTGTGTTAAATATGTGATGAAGAAACAACATTATAACATAGATCAGATATAACACAGATTGTTAGAGCTTTTTGTGTGATTGTCTTACCAATTTGACCTCTTTTTCCCCTAATTTAAAGCTATGATCTGTAACATTATTTGATCGCTTTTACAAGTGGTTGGCAGCTGTGAAACCTCTTCCCCCTAACCTGGTCTTTGTTCAGGCTCACCTGTGATCTCTGGTCGTCTTCTTTCTAAAGCTGCCACATTATCAGACTGCAGTAACGTAGAGAGCACCTAGTGGTGGTACGTGACAATACAGGAGAGGGTCAGCTTATCTAATTGCAGATGGTAGCTTTAACACGCTTATAAGTCTTTGTTTAATCAGTCCAAAGTGCTATACAAAATAACTTGGCTGTTTTCTCCATATGATAAATAAATATCTTTATTGTCTGTTACACCAAGCCAACCCCAATTGAGTAGTTGTAATATAGGTCTAAACAAAAACACAATCATTGATAACTTGCAAATGGATTAAGTTTTACCATCAATCTTACTCTTACAAAACTATATTGCCTTTTAATACATTTAAGTGGTTTACTGACCTATTATAATGCATTCTTATTGATCTGTTACTTACACTAACCTGCTTACCAGCCTTAACCCTGTCCATTCACTTATTCCTAGTGTATATTGGAGTACCCAGGCTGCCGCAGTAGTAGTGTAGTGAGTACTGCTGAGTCCACACTAACTGTATTGACTGCTGTGGTTTGTATATTGATATGTGGCCACTTACTCCTCTGCTCTAATTTCTCTTTTCATTTACAGTAGTACAGTACACATTTGTAGAGGGCTCATCGATGGCTTCCGGGACATAATTAATTGGCCCACAGTGGCTGTTGGCTGAGAAGGGAGTGTCCATCTCCTCTGTACTTGTGTTAAACAAGGCTTTTGGGTGTGATGCAGGTTTTATATGTCTCAAATACTGTTAATGCTGTACTGTGTAACTTGTCTGGTGGATAGTACACATCATCATGGAGATTTTATTACTTTGCCTTATTTATTTAATCTTTATTTTACCAGACAAAACATTAAGAAAACATATTTGCAATGATGTTCTACAGCATGGCTTTAAAGTACAGGTTAGATCTATGATGAATGCATGTTTTTTGAGTTATTTTAGAGCAATAAAAAAAAACACTCACATTACACTTTTTTCTGATCTATGTTATAATCTTGTTTCCTCATCACAAACATACATGGAATTTTGTTTTGGTTCATTCACAAACATTTAACACACAAATCCTGCATATTTAGGCAAAGTTTTTCTTTCAAACATCAAACACTCTGCTCCACCTTGTGATGTCATATGATGATACAGGAAGTGCTGCATACTCCGTACTCCTCCACTAAAAATTTGAATAATTTCAGCCCTAGAATTACCCATATTTACAGCGCAAAATATAAAAGGTACATGCTATCTTGAAAACTACCACTACATGACGTCACAAAGTGGAACAGAGCATTCTGAACTTTGGAGATATAGACAGATTAATAATGAAGTGTTACTCAAACATGTGTGAATGAAACAAAATGTGACTCCAGGTATGTTTTTGATGAGGTGACAACATTGTAACATGGCTTAAAGCTCACTGGAACCAATTTTGCATAATGTAGGATGTTTAACTTACTGCTGGCCTGAGTGGTGGGAATTTTGTTAGAAACATTTCATAACATGGTTTTGTTTCACTTTGTATTCAATTTGACATAAATCCACTGTTTATAATTTTCAGTCTGCCTGGTCTCCACCCCCTCTCCCATATTTACGCCTGCCAAAAGTCTTGTTATTTCTATGATAGTCTTTTTATTAGTAATTATAGCTGCAAAGTGCTAAGGCTAAATTACGAGATGCACCTGAACGCCCCATAGCTCCCCCTGTTGGTTTCTTTGACCTGCATGTAGACAGGGACAAGAGTGGCCTGACCATTTAAATGTTTAGCACACTCGGAATTCCCTGTGCATGTAAAGGTAGTAAATGATGCATGGGAAGCAGAGGAGGTCATTGGTAGAGAAAAATCAAACTTCTCTCACCTCAGATAAACTACTTTAAATATTTGATGAAACCAGATAGATTGACGACTGCTTCTGTCCTTCAGAGTGCAGCCCCTCAGTCATTGCCTACAGCAGTACAATCAGTACAGTGGAGGAGGTTGGAGTGATATCTACGTGTTTTCGTCTATGTGAGAGGTTACATTCGGATCCATTGGGTTTGACACTTACAAGCTCTGCCAGAACATCTCACATCTCATCACACAGCAGCACATACGTACAAGCGCTAACATGCTAACGCTACACTGTCATCATCCTTTTTATTATTATGGTGATTCATCTGTGCATCTGCTATGGATGCCTCATCTGTTCGACAGGACCATACAAGGCTTTAGAGCTGCATATGTGATGTTCCACAGTATGGCATTAAATATACCTTATATTTATTCATTTACATGTTTTTTTTACTAGGGCCCGACTGATATATCCACTATATCCGATAGTCCATGTGGGCATGTTATGCCTCTTTATAAGGCTAAGACTCTATATATTACATCTATTTAATCCAATTTACAGGCAGATAAATGTTCTAATATGTGGCACTGCATCAGTATTTATCTGCGGCGTAATTTGTGTGTGTGCATGACACTGTACTGCCCCTGAACACACCCCCAGAGTCATGTCACTCACATGCTCTTGTGACTTACTTTAAGATTCATGTGCACAACACTGAGGTGCTGCTTTAAACGCTCTTGTGGCCTGATCCACGATACTGACTATAAATAAAACTGAACTTCAGCGCAGTTTAGGACAGCAACAAAACTACGGCTTGTTTTTATCAAACTTACTTGTAAGGACTTGCAATTTGAGAGGTGCCTGTTTGAGTGTTACAAATGTGTCAGTTTTGAAGCTACTTCTGGTTCTTTCTCTTTGGTTTGCGCTTCGCTGCTGTTGCTTCCACACATAACAAACAGCCTTTTTTCTCTTCCATTGGCCTAGTGTAAAGTGACTATAGTGGCTGTACACACGTTACTGGACCTGCATTGATATGTAAATGAGCTGTGAACAGAGGTGTGAATGATCGGCATTTACACATATAATTAATTACCTCGGCGCACATGCATTTACCACTACGGGCTAAAAGCGGTAGTATAGTTACCTTGTTTACTGACTGGAATATCATGCAAAAATGCCATTAGGCTGACCTACTGTCTTTAAGTATGACTGTAAAGAGGCAGAATAACGATAAATGTAGCCTAAGCCAATTTAAATCTATTAGAGCCAGACCTAAGTTGTATTATCAACTGAAGATTTACAGAGAATTTTTACATCACTAAATATATCGGCTTTTATATCGGCGATTGGAACTTCCAGCTCCCATTTTATCTGTATTGTAAAATAAAAAATAAAAAATACCTTGAAAAATCGATCTGACCTGTAACTTGGCCTAGTGGTGTCACCTTCTTGTCTTCCTGGAGAGAGATGAGTTTAATGCAGTTCCAGGCAAAGCAACAATATCTTTATGAAAACAATCGGAAAATGTTACAGTCTTTAAAATTAGAATGGTTACTTGTCAAACTCTTTCAAAATGTAACCAAAACTAAATCAGGAGATGATCATGTAGAAAACTGAACAAACCGAATATTTCTAGGGGGAAAAAAAAAATCAGTGTCAAAAAATATATACATCAGCATTGCACCATTTCACAAAAAACATAATCTTCTAAGTTGGTGTCATCAGATACTCAAGTCTTTGTCTAATATATAAAGTCATACATGGTTTGTCATCTCCCCCACTTAGCCAGCGTGTGAGTGTAAAAGGTACCACACATGGAGGAAGCAGAGGTGCAGCTCGTGGAGACTGTAGAGTTCCACTCTGGAAAAGTGCCTTCAGCCAGAGTGCCTTTTCTGCCCGAGAGTCCCAGGAGAGGAACACTGTCCCCAGAAACATCAGAGAACTGGCCTCTATCCATCTTCTCAAAAAACATCTCAAAAATGGTTCATAGAGAAGCAGACCTGTCAACATGAACCCACTGAATCTGCTTTCACCTTACTGCTACTCTGTCTTTGTCTCATCAGATGATTAATGTACACTGTCCCTGTCAAATAAAAAAAATAAATCTATTACAGTTCTTGATTTATTTCCTTCTTAATTATAATTTTGTATGTTGTCCATCACCATTTATTTTAAATATGTTTTTTGTATTTTTATTTGTGTTGTTTCAGATTTGCGAAGAAAAAGGATGATAAGAAAGAAGCCAAAGCCACCTTGCAGAGGCAGAAGTCTGATCTGATCAGTGACGTGGAGCTGGAGAAGATGAAGGAGGAGAGAGAAAGGTGGGGCACTTTTATAGTTTACCTTTACAGCATAGAATTTAACTATGTCACATTTCCAAATAGAGATTAGGAGTAGATATAACTCTGAAGTGTATATTTGGGTCTCAAACAATACTGAAAAAATAAAGTCTTAATTAGTTAATGTTTTGTTGTGGTCTCGTATATCAAAACACCAAAAGGAGAGTTCGAATAGTGTCAGTTAAATATTGCAAGATTGCTCAAACGTCATTTAGCAAACTCTCTGAGTGTCTCGACTCCCAGGTTGACCATTTGTCTCATGTGATGTAAATCAGTTAAAATACCAAGACAACAGACACATCAAGCATCAAACTAAAGTATTATAGGCTTGCACAACCAGTAGTCATGCTGTAAATAGGTTATAAAGTCGAGTACAGTAGTCCATACTTGAGATTAGGGAACTGCAACACCACTTTATGAACTATAAGTACTAAAGCCTTTGTAAATGTATTTATTAACTTGCCTTCTGTTTATTAAGGGCTTGAATACAACCCAGTCATGTTGTTTGTTGAGAATAGTATAAATTGTAGCTTATTATATTCACACTTTTTGTTTTGTTGTTAATTAACATTATAAAACATCTACACATGAGAGTTAATGCTTTAGAAGTGCTTATGAACACATGACTAGTGCTTATTATAGCCTCATAAATTCTTTATTAAGGAACCTTATTTAGCGTATTGTAATCTCTTTTGTTTCCTTTTTTTTTTTTTTTTTAGGATTGAATCTAACCATCCAGAGCTGCGCCCCGTCCCCGCTCCCTCTTACCCCGATGTGGAGGATGATGACATGGACCCAAACTACGCTCGCATCCAGACCTTTAGAGACCGCTCTGCCCCCTCGCCCTCTCACCCACTGTCCCAGAGTCCTCACTACAACTCCGCCCAGCACCCCAGCGCCCGCACGCCCTCTCCCCACACACCCGCTGCCTTCAACGGCTCAATGAACTCCCCCCCTGCTCTGGATGTTGCCCAGATCGACCAACTCTACGCCAAAGTCAACAAGCAAAGAGGAGGAGGGGCAGCGTCTCCAGTCGCTCCAGTATCAGCCAATGATAGGTAAGGCTGGAGGTTTTAGTACCTTGCAGTGACATTATACGGGGGGGGGGACTGCATGCAAGTCTATGGGAGAATGTTCAGCAGCTGCCATGATGGCACAATGCAAACATTAGCAAACCAGCCTGATAAGCTTTTAGATGGTCTAAAAACATTTAAACACATTAAGAGTGTTTATGGTCACATTTAAGTGTTTGGTGTTGCACGATAAAGGTGCGAGTGACTAAGTGAAAAAGCTGTTGGCTAATGCTACCTAGCCTGTGAATGTAATGTTATGTAAGAGGGACCTGTTTAACTGCACAAAATAGACTCACCATCTTTAGCGCTATGCTTTTAAGCTTTTAAGCACTATGTAACTTTACTGTTGGAGGATCTGCTATTTGCTTGCCTCCATGGAGATGTTATGAAACGTATCAACGAGTGGCGGCTGGTGGTATAATTTTTGGGGGGGTCGCCAAGGCCAAAATTATAAATGCATATTATGAATATATGTATTATATATAGGCTATATAGTATTATAACAAATGCCAGAAACAGACAGTCATTTTGGTGACTATTGGCTGAACTATATCTATGAGAGCACAACACATGGACAAGCGCAAACTTTACACAACCTGATCCACCGCTCACACCCAGCCCCAACAACACAACGTAACACACCGCTCACAACCAGCCCCAACAACACAACGTAACACACCGCTCACACCCAACCTCAACAACACACCACTCACAACCAGCCTCGACAACGTCAGCAAAACTACAATAAGATAAGAGGCTACAGTTACAACACAAACACATTGCACCCACGAGCTCACTTACACACTATTTACCTGTGTTTTTTTTTTTATTTATTTTTTATATCCCTTATGGTTTACCCGTAGTACATCAGTTAAAAATACCTTCATTGCGTGTTCTTTGATGACTTCTTATGGCCACAGGCATTGGTCTAGAGAGCTTAAATTCAAATCACATTTGCATGATCCTGGCCTGAATGCGATGGACTATGAAATCTAATATAGCTGAACACTATAGCGCCCCCTAATGTCATCATTATCGGATTTGCACCAAATTTTGGAATTAAATTCTATGCATGATGCTATACAAAAATTTTTAATAAAATCTTAGACACAGGTGCTTAGTCCCATCTGAAAATTGCTGAAAGTGCTAAAATTTGAATCACTACTATGTGATCTCGGCCTGAATATAATATACGATAAAACATATAAAAAGTGTACTCCACAGTGCCCCCTACTATACAAATGAACCATTAAAAATAAAAGCATTTTTTCACAGATTTTTTTTTTTTTTTACATATATAATTATTTATTTCTATTTTCACTTTACCAATTAATAAAAATCAAGCAACTGGAGCTGTGGCTGGCATGTGAATTCAAGTTTTGACCGTAACAGAGTAACTGGCCACTAGCGAAGGCTATTGTTTTTTTCGCTAGTTTCTTCTTTTTTAATTCTACTATTTTTTTTAATAATTGCTAAACTGTAATGTTGGTTTTTGACCTAGCTTTTCATTTGTTAAGACGAAATTGTTCAACTACGCTCTTGTGAGTACTTTCAGATTCATTCATTCCCTATTCTACTGTTTTTCTTGGAGGACCACTCTGTCTTGACCTGCTTTGAGTTTGCATTTCCTACAATTCAATTTACAAAGACAGTTAGCCGCAGTGCGAACCAAACCAAGGCTCAGTATTTTTCCCCTGTCAGCTGCTGCTCACTTACCTCTGAATATATCGCCTCCCTCCGCTCTCACAAACCCACTTTATTTTGTAGCTGTCTTCTTTCATGTGAGTAAATCAGTTTGATGGACAGCTCCTGGCTTCATAAAGATGTTTTCCTGACGCCATATTGTTTTTTCCATGAATAATACCAAATATTTATTCAAAGTCAGGGCTTTCTTGACCTTGACCACCAGGTAAGGCTGATTTAAAAGGAAATTGTAAAGATATTGGGTTATAAAGTTAAATCAGGTTAAATTCAGAGTAGGTTAAGCTTAACTGTGGTCTCTCTGTCATGGCAGTGTAAGTCCATGTGTCTGACAGTGTGATTAAGTAATTGAACAAGCCTGGCTCATTAAATCCCAATGGCTGGACAGAGTGATTGCTTATGTGCTTAAAATCTTCCCATGTACTTTGTTTAGTGTGTAGACAGTACTGGATTTAACAGCAATATGTTACCATTGATCGTAGGGGTGTGCAAAAATATAGAGAAATCGATATATTGTGATACTAAATTTGATGGTACAGTGTCGTCATCATAGACTGCTGTATTTTTTGGTTCTTTTAGCTTTAATTTTTGTGACCGCACAACCATTTTGTTGCTTATTTAGTTATAGGAAACTTGTTTATACCATACCCTTGACTTATTCACTGTTTTGATGATTAAAATAGGTGTATTCCATATTAACTTAGCAGAAGCAGTGATTTAACAAAGAAATACTGTTACTAAAATGTAGTATTTGTATTATATTTGTGAAGCTATCACAATACGATATTGCCAAGGTATGAACCTCACGGTACGATATTTATTGCGATAACGAGGGAAAGCTCACAATATGGTGGGAAGATTCACAATTAGGGATGTAACGATATCTAAATCTCTGTACGATATTTTCACGATATACATCTCATGGAACAATATGTATTGAGATATTTTGTGGAGGCTAACAAAACTGTTAATATGCTACTTTTTCCTCCTAAAATTCCTTGACAAGACTTAATCAAAAGAACTGAGATCTTAAAAATGCTTAGAACTGTTATTTCTTCTTGTTTGCACCGAAGCAGAGCAAAGGGTCATGGTCTATGTAGTTCCCTCTGTTTTTTTTTAGCTATTGCTGCACCATAACTTTTCATTTAATGAAAGAGACTTGTGATTCGATATATTGTGATGGTCCACGATATTATTATGAGAACTTTGACGATACGATATCACGACATTTCAGTTACTGTTACATCCCTAGTGTTTGGTTAAATATATCAGACTATCATGTGCGATGTATTGCCATATCGCGATAATATGATATTGTGAGCCGTGTATCGTGTCAAATCTTGAAGAACCCAACCCCGGTTAATCATGATATCATTCAGTGAATCTGTCTATCTTGAATAAAAACTTAAATACGAATTACATTTACAATTTTTGTTGCTACTGAAACAAAATTTAAATTAGAACTTTGTAACCTTCACCACTTATGATTATACTCTGGAATATTGGGAACTGTTGTATTATCTTTCAGTTAGTCCAGATATACAAGATCTGTAAAACAAACAAAAAAAAATAAAAAATTTAAACCACCTTTCAAAATCAACACAATGAATTTAGTTATATAAATTAAAATACATAAATCTTGCTCTCTTTTCTAAGTCCAGGCTCCATAGTTATAAGATCCGCAATATAAGATCCCATTACTCCCTTGCAGACATTTACATAAACATTTGAATATCATTGTCAATCAAAATATGAGTTTACATTTGCAGTACATTTTAGCTCTGTAGTCTCTTTCCCTTCAGCTTTTCACAGAGCAATGATCCTCACAGTTTTACATAAACACTGCACATATTAAACATGTGTACAGCTCTTTCCATTGCCTTGTATTGCCATGTATATATTTTCACTGTAGGGGGTCCGGCTCCCATGAATATCATTGAGTGAAGATGTGAGTGCCAAGATATGAGGGCTCTAGAGTGTGTCATTAGTATTGTATTACTTTGTGTACACTAACTATTTGTAATGTGGTTTATACAAGGAATCGGCTTTCTCAATAGGCTTAGATATTATACTGATGTTTGTAGCTTCAAGTGGCTGTTGTGAAGAAACATGAGCAGATCAGTTCGTCAAAAAATGCAATACATAATACTATACAAATATTCATGTGCTATTTGAATGTTTTTATAGATTTTAAAAGTTCTCAAAGTAAAAATTGTCAGCTTAATCAACTGTTTTGGCTAGACTGTGATGACTTGGTGCTGCAGTGGCTCAGTGGTTAGAATACACATCCACCAACACAAACAGCAAGATCTCTTCCTGCTCCCAAAACTGTGTTCTGTTGCTGTGTTTTCAGGCAAGACAGTTCACACACCTTGCCACTGTATGAATGCGGTGTGTGTGAGTGATAGGTAGTGGTTGGAGGGATTATTATAAAAGGTACTATATAGTCCTCAGTAAAATTATTAAATGGTCCATAATATAAATTTCAAATGCCTTCATCACATTCACCATTCCTTTGCAGTACACAGGCAAAACTTTTGGCCCGTAATATCCTTACACAGAACTATTTAAGTTTCCTCTATGACTCCATATATTACATTGGCCTTTATATAACGCCTAAATGTAATACTTTTGTATTAGACTTTCTAATGGGGCTTTATGAGTTGATCAGCAGAAAGCTTCACAGTAAAGAGCCTTTAAACAGGCTCGTCCATCACAGCGCGTGGGCTGCTGGGCTGTACACGACGCTGTTTCTCTGAAGGGCAAACCCATTCATTCTCTATGCATGACAGACTTAAATACAAGCTCATTTAGGAAAGTCATTATGCACACTCAGATACACACAAGCTTATTATCTATAGTGAGTGCGGGATATAAGAACACATTGTCATTTATAGGTCTTTGGGAACTTTCAGGTTTGTCATATGGACCTAAAGACAAAATGATCAGTATAACTTAGCAGTGAGTTACAGATAAGCTAAAGTAGAGGTTTTGAATGTTACAAAACTTTCTAATGACTTTTTCCCCTCATCAGATCCATCTGGATCAAAATTTACCTTGTCTCTAGGGAAATGTTATTGCCTTGCCTGGAATGTTCCACAGTTTCGTACTGAAGATTTCTTCATTGCATTTATTCAATGACAGGTAATTTTTTTTGCTAAAAATACCAATGGGAGTGACATTGCGGTTAACATCATCATAACAAAGAGATGCAAAGTTGTCATTTTTACCGAAATGACTATGCGACACTGCCGAATACTACATGTATCACTGATACGTAAAAT